TTTTGCCTTCTTGTTTTTAGATTAAGCCGAACCTCGAGGTATTTGTGTAATAATATATGATTAAACAGAAATCTCCCTGTGAATCAATATTTCACTACCACATTGTATAAGGAGTTGAATTTTATAAGTCAAAAATTTAATAAGCAGCTAACAGTGGAAAATTAAATAAAACCACTTTCATGTCTTAGAGAAGTGTAGCATGAGAAGCCTAAAAGGCTAAAACAACTAATATGGATCGAGGGTCCTTTGATGCGACGGAATGAATTTCTAACCTGCTTGTTTGCTAAAATCAGAAGAGGAGCTCCTTGTAATTCCTCATGCCGAAGAACTTTCTCTGTGAAAGAGTTTTATGCTTAGGATGAATTTTGAAAAGCATGGTAAAAATACGAAGCTTACTTGTTCCCCACAGTTTTTACCAAGAGCAGACTTTGAATCTTCAAAACGAGATGGACAAGCAGCATCAATTACATAAATCACAGCATGTGCCTCTTCATAATATTTTTCCCAAATAGAGCGAAGACCAGGCTGAAAAAAAATAAAAAATAAAAAATAAAAAATCATCAATGTAAAATTTCTCAAATTAAAAAAGGAAAAAGAATAAAACAAAGTCCATATAAGAGGACTGACATAATATTAGCTTGGAAGCTTGAAATCAGACATCAAAAGATAACGGGAAATTGTATAATCTATATTTTCGACTTGAAGGAATAAACTTTTATAATACAGAGGGATGGATAACTACAACCAATCATACTTAGCCTAATGACACACACATACACACACACACACACACACACACAAGAAAAAATTAACAATTTCATCATTCACATTAAAAAATAATCCCTCGACATTTCTGCTACACAAGTTGCAATCTGCTGAGATTATTTACAAAAGAAATACAACAAAATAGATTATATAATGTTTTTCAAATGAACCTAACCTCCATGGTGGGTTTTGCACTTCTGTAGTTCTATAACAATGAATCAACGAAAAAGAACAAAAGAACTAACCAGTCATGTATATCAATTAGAAAGAAAAGAAAGAGTGCATTTCAAACCTGACCTCCCAGGTCCCAGAATATGAGTTTCGTGTTTGACACTTCAACACGACCAATATTGAGCCCCACAGTTGGAACAATTTTATCAGGAGGGAGGCCTTCCACATTCGAGTACTGTGACTTCAATTTCTCCAGTAATGTCTACAAATTAATATTAAATAAAAAAACAGCTCAAATAAAGATTATGAGAAAATAGCACACTTTTGCGTCCTTGGTTTTGGATATATAAAAATATAAAAATCTTAAGAAGAAGAAAAAAAATCATAAAAAGAATGGGAATAGAAGTCAATAGTAAACAGTAATTCCACCATGATGTTTCAATGTCTAGCAAGCAAAACTGCAAAAGCAAGAAAAATGAGTGAACCTGCTTTAGTAGAATGAAAATCGAGAATTCTCAAGAGGATTTATAAGTCCTAACTTTCAAAAGTTTCCACAACATGACCCAGCACAGCTAATATTGCAAAAAATTGCTACTTGTAGAAACGCTTAATTTACTTTTCTTTTAAATATACAATAAAATCAGTGAGCAGTCCAACATCAACTAAATTTGCTTCAGTTCAATTATTAGTAGTGTCGTCACAAGATGTCCATGGTGTTATCAGATATGTTTTCTCAAAATACATGCCTACCCACTTTGAGTCATATGAGTCACATCCTATAATCATCACACTTAAACTTGTAAATTTAAACCAAGTAAATATCAAAAGGTATAAGCCAGTTCCAACATATTCCGAAAGTTCAAGCATCCATGCGCCAAAATAAAACTACCTATGAATATATATTAAAACAAGTGAAAGTACTACGCCAAGACAGTAGTAAAATAGATGAGAAAATTACTGTTTTGCCAGCCTTGTCAATTCCAAGAATAAGAACGTGAAACTCAACCTTGCTCAGCATGTACTTCCATAGTCCGTAAAACAAAGAAAACATCCTGATTTTTCTCTTGTATCTTCAATGCAGCAAGAAATTAGAAGTTCAATATCTTGCAACTGTATAAAAGACCATACACAAATACTTGT